ATACCACCATTAACCACAATAATGCTGCAAGTATATCACTGAGAAACAATTGTACAGTGAATTACTGCCATATTTATTTGTGCAGTTCCAGGGGGGTGCAGTTTGGTTAATTGTTGATTTTGAACCTACTGTGAGGCATATGATACATATCTTGTTTAGAGTAGTTGTTTATTCTACTCTAATGTTTGCTTCACAGCATTGATACTCATCCTGGCACTCTCCATCAGATGTTTCCATGCAGAGGCAGGGCTTTTTGTGGTGGAACTCACTTGTACTGAGTACCAGCACCTTTTTTCAGGGCTGTCCCAAGCCCTGATTTTCATATGCCGGCTGGCTGCACTCGGCCAGAGAGAAGGGAGCCTCAGGAATAGCCTAGTGGGGATCTACAGCTGGAAATCAATGCAGGCACTAAAAAAAAAAAAAGCACTGTGTTGAGGTAATCTAAAACAGAACAGAACTGAGCAATTTCGCACACCTTCAGGATATCAAATAATCAACAGAAGTGTACATTTATGGCAGCCACCTTTAACCCCAGCTATGGTTATCATAGTAGAAATATTACAGTTAATCTCATCTTATAATATGTACATTTTACAGTTATTTTCTAACCTTAGTAGGGGCTGAAATTTTGACGTAATGTAAATTAACAACTGCCATCTTGGATTCCAGTATTGCAAAGTACATACCAACTGGCAACATAACTTTTTGGATACAGGTAGACAACGTCAGTCTGAAAGATACTTTTGCTGCTCATGGCAATGAGTTGACAGTGAAAATAAGATCCAGGAGATATTATTGATAAATTTATATTATGATTACTGTTGTAATAAAGACATTGAAATGTATATGTTTTCTTTTCTTTTTCACATCTATACGTTAAGCTATCTGACCATAGTAGAATGCCACAGGATGCTTCATAAACCCAAAGATTTGTTTACTTTATTTATACTCCACTTTTTTCTCCAGTGGGGACCTGAAGCAGCTTACATTTTATCCTTACAACAATTCTACAAGGTAGGTTAGGCTGAGTGTGTGACTGGTCCAAGGTCACCCAGTGAGCTTCTTTTTTTAAAAAAACTTTATTGTGTTTAATAACCAAATACATGCATAGCCAAACCAAATACATGACTAACGCAAAAAACAAACAAACATTAACAGTCATTTTAAAGCATAGAAACAGGTATTGAAACATATAAAATAGAACAGTTATTAGGACAGTAGTACAACCTGTAGTAGCTAGCATTGAGAAAGAAAGCGTGTAACATATGTAACTTTTATGGCTGATATTAATATACAACATTAATAGCTTCAAGTATATGCTCAAATTCCTTAAGTGAGGCGAAGTATTCAAGAACCGTAAACCAAATTTTACAAAATTTGAATTATATAGATCAGTATCTCTTGGTGACAAAGAATCCGCTAGCTTGTCCATCTCCCTTATAAATAAAGGCCGAATGGTGGTGGCACTTCTCTAGAACATTCCACATGCTCCAAAATCAGTTCACTCTCTGATGTGTCATTCAGAGGGTCTCCCTATCCACTGGCTGCTTTGCCTGAGTCCTGCCTCCAACATTCTAAACATTTTGCTACTCCTCTCCCCCCAATAGCCAGTCAGAACACAGAGGTTATTTGCATATGCAGCCTCATAGGCCTCTGCCTCAGAAGACAGAGATCGTTTGCATATGCGACTTGATTGGCTTTTGCCTCTAACATTCTAAACAGTTCCACCCTCCAAACCAACCATTCCCTTCTGGGGACCCATTGTTGCCAGTCTCCAGGTGATGGCTGGAGATCACTCAGAATTACAACTGTTCTTTAGGTAGCAGAGATCAGTTCCTCTGGAGAAAATGGTGGACTCAGTGTCATTATACCCTGCTGAGGTCGCCACAGCAAATTGACACTGAGTGTCCAAGGCCGGGGCACCCGCCCAGAGCCTCTTTCTAGAGGCCGTTGTATTTATTTCCACAACGGGCCTTTTTCCTAGTTATACAATATTCCTGAATTTTTAAGAACCAATCAGATATAGTGGGTCTTTTGTCATTTTTCCAAAATTTAGCTATAACTGCACGGGCAGCTGCACAGAATATTTCTATTAATTTAAATTTATGTCCATATTGTCTAGCATTTGGCCAATAGTTTAATATTAAAGATTCCATTTCCATTGGGATCTCCAGGTTAGTTATATCATAAATTTGATTTACCACCGATTTCCAAAAGTTTCTTATAACAATACAATCCCACCAGCAATATCTATAAGTGCCTAGTTCTTGGCATCCTCTCCAGCAATGTGGTGAGGCACCTTTTACAATATAACTCAACTTTTGAGGGGTTAAATACCACCTCGTGATTACTTTGAAGAATTGGGTGCAAATAGATATGCTTTTCTCCCGGAAAGTAGGGGAGCTCCATACTTTTCCCCATTGGTCCAGGGAAAGTGGTTGGGAACAGTCCTTATTCCAATATGTGGTATAGGAGGGAGGGTTGTTATCAGTTGCTGATAGTAACATTTTATATAGTAGTGATATGTATGTCTTGTAATTTTCCTGGGGATTCTTGATTAAGATTTCGAATGCTGTGGGATTTGATTTCAGTCTATCCCTCATTGGCTTATTATCTAGACAATGGCGAAGCTGTAGATATTGGTACCATGGAATCGTACCTTGGCCTTTGTCTTCCAAGATAATTTTAGTAAGGATATGTCCTTTAGAGGTGATGTCTATTAGTCTGTTTAGCCCTAGGGATTTGATTTCAGTCTATCCCTCATTGGCTTATTATCTAGACAATGGCGAAGCTGTAGATATTGGTACCATGGAATCGTACCTTGGCCTTTGTCTTCCAAGATAATTTTAGTAAGGATATGTCCTTTAGAGGTGATGTCTATTAGTCTGTTTAGCCCTATGAGTTTCCAGTTGGCAAAAGAGTTGCCCAAAGCAGCTGGTGGGAACCAGCATTGTTTGGTAAAGGACGACAGTGGGGATATTGTAGGGGCCACTTCGGTGAGGTATCGGGACTGCGCATCAATAAAAAAAATCTGAAATATACCCCACCTACATTACACCTGAACTCTCGAACACTATTAAGGCACTTTATAATTTTAAATGGGTAACTAATGCGTGGAGACATTTGGGGGGTTTCATCCCCATTCATTTAAAAGACCTGCTGCAATACAACTTTGGTGAAACATAAAACAAACTCAAACTGGAAAAATGGCATCAATTATCTTTTTCTTAGTCAGACCGCATAGATCTAATTAAGTCTTTCATTTTACCGAAATTCATCTTTCTGTTCCGCACACTGCCTGTACTCATTCATCCCTTTATGCGATATAAAGTTATGGCAAAACACCCTTTTACAGTTTATATGGGACAACAAAAAATATAGGATTAGCTTTTACACTCTTTGTAAGCTAGTTAAAGACGGTGGTACTGGCTTCCCAGACTTGTTGATGTACCATGATGCAGCCCATCTAGTGAATCTGATAAAAATGATGCATGTTGACACAGCGCCAGGCTAGACTTTGGTTGAACAAACTTACTCTGACTCTCGGACTCTACAAGAATTAATCTGGAATCTGAAGCAGGAACGACCTAAATCCCTAAATCAAAACCCCTTCTTTCAATGTACCTTAGCAGTCTGGGAGAGACATCGCAACAGATTGACCCAGTGAGCTTCCATGGAAGTGTGTGGATTCAAACCTGGGTCTCCCAGATCCTAGTTTGATGCTCTAACCACGACACCAAACTGGCTCATAAGGATTTCTTTGACCAAAAATGACTATTCGTAACAATTAGGGTTGACAGCTCTGTGTTGGGAAATTCTTGGAGATTTGGGAGTGGAGACTGGAGAGGGCAGGGTTGGAGAAGGGAAGTACTTTAATGGGGTATAGTGCCACGAAGTCCACCCTGAAATGTAGCCATTTTCTCCAGGGGAACTGTTCTCTATAACCTGTAGATCTGTTGTAATTCCAGGACATCTCCAGGCTCCATCTGGAAGTTGGTGCAATCCAAAGAACACTTCTCTTATTTCTGTCAACTTTCTACCCAAATAGGGTCCTCAGGGCAGCAAGCATTAAAACGACATTTATAATAAAGTATATATAAAATAATTCAATAAACTCTCTCTCGCTGAAACTAGGGAGGGCCAATAACACTTATCTGGAAGTAAGAGCCCCATTGGCCAGATAGTGCAATTTCATGTAGTTACTGCTGTTTGTCCATTAAAATCAATGGGTCTAGACTGGTGTAACACTGTACTGTTACTCTCCTACTTTGCCATCCCAGAGCTAGGCTGCAATTCTAAAAACACAAGGGATGAAGTCCTGTTGAATTTAATGAGGTTAATTTCTGCGTATAAGTGTTTAGGATTGCACAGGTACATTCTTAGGGACTTACTCTCAGGAAACTGATCACTGTATCTCACGCCATTTACTGTTGGAATGTGCTACCCATACATACACACACACACACAGACCTTTATTGGCATATGTTAGGTTACAGGAAGAAACAAAAGTGGATAAATAGGTAACAAGGAGAAATGAATCAATCATATGCATCTATACATTGTGCAGAATGTGCTACACAATCATGAACCCTCTAGTGGAATTTTTGCTTTGTTTTCTAGTGGGGTTTTTGTTTGAACATGGGGAAATTTTACCTTCGATTTTAGCTTTCCATTTCTGATGCGGGGAAGAGCGAGCGGACGAAGATAGAAACCCTAGTTCTAATTATATGTTTTAAGAAACCCGTATTATTAAATAAGTTGTGTTTATTGAACATTTGAGACTATTGGTGTGCACCATCTTCCACTCGCCGCCAGTCAAAATATCAGGGAATTCAACTACAACGAAAACACCGAGTTTTGCGCAATTTCCGGAGCTCATCTTTATGCTGGAGCCAGAAGGGGGCGCGATGAAACCTAAAGTTTAGCCGGCAGAATCGCCTGCACGGTCCCTTTAAACAGACGCCGGGCAAGAGGCTGCGCAGGCTCGGGCGGAAGTAAATGGTTGCGGTTGGAAGACCAAGGGGGTGGAAGCGGATGGATTCTGATTTTTTGAGGAAGCCCCTGGGTATGTGACCGGGACCACCCTGTTTGTCTCTCGTGTCGCTCATGTGCGAGTCTGTGAGGCGCCAGGGAGCCTAGAGCGAGCCCTGTCTCCCTAGCCTGATAGGATCGGAGTTGGTGGAGGAACTCCTCCTTGGTCCGCTCGAGTACAGTCAGCCTCCTGTCAGAAGCCGAGAAACAGCAAGGCCAGGCAGCAGTATCCTGGCTCTGTTAATTTTAGCCAGCTATCTTAAAAGGTGCTTGTGTATTTTCTTATATCTGCATCATTGTGTGTGGGTTAATAGAATAAATAACTGTTAATATCAATATTTTAATTCTGCTTTTCTCCACAGTGGGGACCCAAGTGGCTTATAAAATATGAACATGCAGTTTATGAGCATACAGTTTAAATGCGCAAACGGAAGGGGGAGGAACTTCACAAAAACAGGCAGTACAGCGCTCTACATCCTGGACTAGTCTTGGGTCTGCTGGATCCTCACTTTGGTTCTCAGGCTGTGGATTTAAGAGCCAGCATGGCTAAACACTTGTAAACAGTGGAGGAAGCTAGGCTTAGCCCAGATTTTATTTAACAGCCATAAAGAGGTTGAGAGTAGCAGTCTGAGGGGTGTCTGGTTTTATTCTCATAACTTGCAACTCCTCCAGGGTCAGAGCTACCCCTCAGTTATCCTGGAGCATTAAAGTACCCCGATGTCTTTCTTACAGTGTTTGCAATTAGAAAAAGATGTCAGACTCTTTTACTTCCTATAAAAACCCATGCTTCAAACCCAGCTTTCTAGGCCAAACTTCAGTGTAACTTTCTAACCTTCCTCCATTATTGAAATGGTAGCTGAGTTCCTACATGCCCCCTTTTGATCTCTTCTCCTGTTGTTGGTGATTTTGGTCTAAGTAACCTGAAGTAATTTTAGATTGTAAGGGGCCTGTTTCATGCTGTTACTCTGTAAAATGCCAGAAGCATTAATACCACTATATTTAGAATATATTTGCTCTTATGTTTAGTGGCATGTTCTTGTGGCTGTTTGGAAGCAGGCTTGATGTACATCATCTGACAGAGTGGACAGCCTTCTGAAAACCTGTAATGTAAAGCTTGAAGATTTGTGTGCAGCTGCCTACTCGTGGTGCAGTCAGTTAGTGACTACTGGAGGTTTATGCTTTGAGTGTACCGTGAAAATCTATATCCAACTACAATCTGATGGGGGAAGATGAGGAGATGGAAAGGAGAACTAGAGGGGTTGTTGGATAGCACGGGAGGATGAACTGGCGGGTGATTTTAGTTTGCACATTTCGTTTTGTGCTAATTTCCTGTGATTAATAAAAGAGATGGGTCTCCTTGAAGGACTAGTATAGACTGTATGTTCCATACAGCTAACTTCTGAATATGCCTCTGTTGACACCTGGGAAAACATACCTATTTTTCTTTACATACTGCAGATTTAGTAATAAAGGACTGAATAGAGAGTCTAAGGAACTACTGTATAAAAGGATAATTTCTGGCTCTTAAGTCAGTTAGGTGTTCTTAGTAATGAACTGTGTGATGCATGTGTGAATGTTTATTTGCTGCAAGCTTACCCAAGTGACAGCAATGTGCCTCGATAGCGTAGATGATATGTAATTTGATCCTTAGATATTACAGATCTGTGGGGCCTGGAAGCAGACAAGTTTTAAATAAATAAATCTCCCTTCTTCTATAAACTGTCTCATTTTTAAGAGGTGGGGAAAGGAGAGATGGAAGAGGAAATGAAGATGGAGAGTCAAAACCTTGATCCAGACCAGGGGTCTTGCTCTCTGACAGATGAATTAAGTCAGCAGCTCTTGAGCCAAGAAGCCCCTTCTCCAAAGCTGTCTGTGATTGAACTGAGCAAGGAGCTAGACTCCAAGAGTGATTTGGTAAGACCTAAATTGTTACAATTTTCTGTTTGTGCAGAAAAAGTTGCATTCTAGGTTTGTGACTGTCCTGTACGTTCCATAGCTAATTTTGTTCCCTGTGCCTACATGTTTTGCCGTCTGCTTTTATATTCTCAGGTGATCACCTTATTATTTGTCAGATACACTCATTTCAAGTTAACAGCTCTGTTAAGTATACATGCTAAAATATATTTATATAGGAATCTTCTTTTTGATCTTCAGACACTTTGATCAGATTACAGGTATGAAAAATCTCTAACTGCAGAAGTATGTGATCATAGTTTTCATAGTTAAAATGCTTCCTCTACATATTCCTGCTTATAGGATAACCTTCCAGTGCTCCTGGTTAGTGTGATCTTTTCAGTAAAGTATGTCTTTGGAGAAGAGGAAGCAGTCTTTTATTTTCCCTTCTTTCTAAAGCTTTATACTCTTCCTAGCAGAGGCTTGAACCATAGATGCAACTAGCAGCTAGCAGTAGATGAAAAGAGTGGCATGGACTCAGAGGAAGGGATAATTTTAGGATTTTAAAAATATTTTAGTGCTGCACCATGCAGTGACTGATAGGTTCATCATAGGTACTGTAGAGTTTATCCAATACTTATATTATGCTAAATATTTCAGTCATCTATAAAGATGATGACTGTTGTGTGGTGCTGTCTTTGGCGGCGTAGTTTGGGCTTTCTGCAGGTGAATTAATATATTTGTTTATTTGCCTGTGCTGCTTTGTGTTATATTGTAGGGGAAGGAAATAGTGTGCTGGAAGATAACTTTTGTTTAATTAGGCAAGAGATGCACACACCCTATTTTTAACCTCACATTATCTTAACTAAACTTTTATTTAAAAAAAACCCTGGAAGTAAAATCAGCAAAGCAAATGAAAGAAGTGGAATCAGCAGGTTATAACCCAGAATATCAATAAATATATAATTCCAGGAATAATTATTTTGGACTTTCAAAATGCTTTTGACAAAATCCATCACCAAAATTTCCTAAAAGAACTTAATACTCACAGGATAAGTGAACAGGTTGTTTTATGTCCAAGTAATGTATTAAAGAACAGGAAACAGAGGATATGAATAAAAAGTTAGTTTCCACAAAGGAGGGAAATGAGCTTATATGGATCGTGCGTGTAAAGTATTGTCAATTCACAGCTGACTTATGGCAGCCTCATGGCATTTTCAAGACAAGAGATTTCAGAGGTGATTTACCATTGCCTGCCTCTGCATGGCAACAATCTGGGATTTCCTTGGTGATCTCCCATCCAAATACTAACCAGGGCTGACCCTGCTTAGCTTCTAAGATCTGACACAATCAGGCTAACCTGGGCCATCCAAGTCAGGGCATGGGGGCTTCTGCAGTGTAAATATTCTTAAATGCACTGGAACTGGGGCAAACAGTGATAGACACTAAAAGAAAGCCAGTAAACATAAATAATTTATGCCAAACTCAGTTCTTAAAACTAGTGCTTTATTTAGCAGTGCTATTCATATATAGCGTATACCAAGCAAGTAATGCATTTCTCTATAATCCAAGCATCTTTGTACTGCCACACTATGGCAGTGGTGAGGGCAGAAGTCTATAGATTTTAACCTGCTTATTCTTTAGATTTTGACTACAGTGCAAATTTAAAAATACTTTCCTGGGATTAAGCCCCATTTTATAGACCTAGGTAGAATTCTGAATAGACCTACTCACCATGACAGTGTTAAGGCACTTTGAATCCTGTATGAGTCCTCCCGAACTTTAAGATCTGCAAATGAAGCCCTGCTCAGGATACCATTTGGAGTAGATATGTGTGACTTCTATCAGAAACAGAAGTTCAGTAGTTGCCTCGAGCCTATGCAGTGATACCACAAAAGTTAACTTTGCTCTTCACTGATCTTACTTTGTGAAAACTATTTTTTCTGCCATGCATATTGTTGAACTGATGGATTGATGGTATTGCTTGAAGGTGGTTATCATATCACCTCTTAGTTACCTCCTCTCCAGGCTAAACATACCCAGCTCCTTCAACCTTTCCTCATAGGACTTGGTCTCCCAACCTCTCACCATCTCTGTTGCCCTCGTCTGGACATGTTCCAGCTTGTCTATATCCTTCTTAAATTGTGGTGCCCAAAATGGAGCATGATACTCTAAGTGAAGTCTAACCAGAGCAGAGTAAAATGGTACCATCACTTTGTGTGATCTGGACACTATATTTCTGTTGATACAGCCCAAAATTGCACTTGCCTTTTTATCTACTGCATCACACTGCTGACTCATGTTCAGTGTATGGTCTACTGAGACACCTAGATCCTTTTCACACATACTACTGCCAAGACAAGTCTCCCCATCCTATAATTATGCATTTGATTTTTCCTACCTAAATGCAGAACTTTACATTTATCCCCATTGAAATTCATGTTAATAAAGAGTTATGTATACATTCAGTAAAATCAATAATATAGCTTTGAATTGTGCATCTATATGTTCAATAACCTTTATCATAATCAAACAGCTTATTTAACTTTAAATGAAAATACATCAGAGGGAAGAATTGTTAATTACGTGCTATATCTCACTCTGGAAGGCTGTGAAGTAGTTTATTTTTCTCTTTTTTATCTAGATCGATGACAAGGAGTTTGATATTCCCCAGGTTGATACTCCTCCAACACTGGAAAGTATTTTAAATGAGGTGAGCTGAGGGAAGGCACATCCAGCTACCCATTTCTCACATTAGGGCAGGAAGATCCAAAGCAGATGCCCAAATCAATCACAAACCCACATACAGCTGCTCTCAGACTGCCCTAGCTAAGGAGATTATGTCTTTATTAAAAGTGCTAAAAGCTAAGTTGTGAATCAGCATTGCATGCTTTTTTGTTTGTTTGTTTCTGTGTGGGATTCTGTACACATCAGGCGGCACTTCTATTTTATGAAGACTTGAGAGGTCTTTGTAAGCCACAACTGTCTTCTGCCCTACATCAACCACCATGTTTAACCTGTAGGTAATAAATTGTGGCAATACTAGCTGCTGTAAGTAGCTTAACATGTAATGGAGTGATTAACGAGCTATATATTTTCTCTCTCAGACAGATGATGAAGAAGAGCCTTTTGTTCTTGAAGATCCTTGTCTTCTGAATGTTGACAATATTGACACCCACTCATATGATACCTCTTCTGTTGCTAGCTCCGACAGTGGGGATAGGACCCACTTGAAAAGGTAACCAAACTGGCAAAAACCATTATAGAGCAGTTTTGTGATATAGGCTTAAGAGAGCAATCCTTTTGAAGATTGATGAGTATGTCCTGAAATCTATGGATCAGATGATTGCCAATGATAAGAGAAATTTAGATCTTTTATTTATTGTTTGAAGTGGGCAAAGCCGGATGGATAAGAGAAACTACTTGGGATAGTTCAGGGATTATGCACAGATCTCTTCTGTCTTTAAGTAATATATTTATGAGTTTAGGACTGTAGGAGGGCTCCATGAGCTGCTTTTTCATTATCTTGATGCTTTGAGTGGTTAAGCTGTAGTGTTGCCTTTTACAATTTTTGCGCTTCACCAAAGTCCTGGGTTTGCCTGTTGGCAAGGGGTGATCTGACCTACACTCCAGATCAGTCATTTATCAAGTGGCCAAGATTTCAGGGAACCTCCAAGTTAATAACTGAAAAATATTAGGATTCATCCATGCAAGAGACTGATCTAATTACTCAAATAAAATACAGCTTTTATTTGTTTTATATATTTTAAACATTTTTATGCCACCTGTCCACCTGATCACAGTTTCCAAGGCAGCGCATGTAAAAATATAAAAAACATCTGCGCAATTATACTTTTGTGTGCTCATTGAATCTTTGTTCTAAATGTCTTAATCGATTGATAGAAAGGTTTCTTTTTATTTCATTAAACTTTCTTCTGTATATTTAATATTTAGGCAAAAAGCAATATGGCACCCTCAAAGTATGGTATGGTAAGGCCTCTTGCACACTTTCCATTAGCCTGGTGCCTCAGTGCTTGGATGTAAATCTGAAATGGTGTTCCTGCAATTACTTGGGCATTTCTCTTTGGCTGAACAAAGGAGTTTGTTTAAATAAGATGCGGATTTTTGCTAGGTGTTTCCATTCCTTTGTCCTGTTTGTATGCTTGCAAAGAAGTTTGATAGCTCTCTATCAAAATATTGGGCATGTAGCATCTTATTTGGTTAGCTACACATGTAGAATGAGGTACGATTATATTCCAATTTATTTTTTCTTACTTTATAAAGGAAGAAGAAGCTTCATGATTCTTTCTCTATCCATGGCTCAGTTATACGGCTGTCACTTTTGAAAGGCATTTCTGCACAAATAGCATCTGCGGCAGTAAGCTCCTTTTTTCAATTCTTTTTGAGTTGTGTCTGTGACAATTAGACAACATAGCCATATATGTTTTGGGAGGGGCAGTAGCTCAGTTGTACAGCATATGCTTTACATGCACAAGGTCCCAGCCATCTACAGCTAAAGTATCGCTGGTATTGGGGGTAGGAAAGACCTGTATCTAAAACTTTGGAGAGCTATTTCACGTGGAACAGACAGTTTTGAGCTTAATGGTTCAGTTACCTGATTTCTTAGGCTGTCATATGCTCTTCTAAATGTTTTAGCTACAGCAGCTAGTTTTGGTGTTAGTCACTACTTGCAACCATTGGAAGAGAATCCTTGGGTGTGAAAAGTGAAGGTATGCTATTCAGGTTTAGCTGCTTCTCCTTTATAAAGTCTAGTTATGCTAATGTATGTCTTACTGAAAGCAGTGCAAAGGAAGAGTTACAGGGTTGCACTGAACATTCAGTGTGATGCTGAGGCTAAAACAGGAAACTTCTTATTTCATTAGGAAGGATCTAATTAGTCTCTGTAAAACGTATTAGCAAGATCATTGTGCCAGTTACACTATGAATATTGCTATGCACTTGAAAACCTTGTTCACAGTGGCCCAGATGAGTTCCTACTACTTTGAGAACCCTGACAAAAAATGATTCTTGGAGCAGACCTGGGTTGCTTTTAATAGACAGTGTTGAACAAAGGGAAGAACAAGTTTGATTCTGAATCCCTAAACCCTAGTTTATTGTTTTCTTGTCCTCCTGGGCCCTGTTATTCCATGCCTCTGCAGCTTTGTATTTGGGATATTTTCAGGTCATGGGCAAAGTGAAATCCACTCTTGAGTATCCAGTCATAGCCAGATGGGTTCTCTCAGTCCTTAAATGAGACTTAAGAGCGTGTTTGAGTCGAACTTTTTGTTAATGAGAGCTGTTTGTAAAAGAAGATGAACAAGACAAGGACTTAGCCCAAAGATGGACTTAAAACAGCAATTTGAGAAGGCTCTCACTATATTGGGCATGTGGATGACCTTTTAGTACAAATTTTAGAAAATCTAACCAACTCCTATTTGTACTTCATTGAAGTATTAATGGATTTTGTAATATATACTGTCTTCCAGGCCAAAGTGGATGCTGGCACACCCACTGCAATAGTAAGTTTGTTTGAGGATATCTTGTGCTGATTATTCATGTTTGTTCTAATTTCCAAATGCTTGGTTCAGTGCTCTGACTCTATCTAATTGTGTTGTATATTGTGTGTCGTATTTCCCTGCAGAGCTATTTTATTTCTTTTGGTATAGAGTGAGTAGAACATGGAACTAAACTGCATTCAAAGTATTGAATACAATTAGTATGGCCTAAGTAACCTGTTGCAAACAATATTCAGAGAACTTTTAATAAAAACCAAAAAGCCTTGATGCAGCTCTAGCATGTGCCTGAGTAGTGATGATCCAGTTATGTGTTCCAGTTATAAGATCACTACAGTCAGTTTGTGTTGTTCTTTGTGGAATAATCTTTAATCCCTCAGTGTCAACTGGAGCAGGTTTCTGTGACTTGGCTGCTTTGCAAGCTTACCTATTTTAGATTTATTAATCTCAGTTTCATCTCTTGCTGATTCATATTGTGTTGACCCAATATTGGTACCCATTTCTTGTATTTAGGTATTGTTCTTGTGGCTTTCAAGCATCTAACACTTCTGAATCCTTTCTTGTTTACTTTAGGCAGCATCAAGTCTCATAGCAGTGGGAACATCTCATGGGCTAGCACTGATATTTGGTAAATACAAATATTCCTTGAGTTGCTTCAGGATTAAGAATGATTTGGAATTTATTTTCTATGATATGTTTCATATGGGTATACTAGGGTATATAAATTATATCTTGCTATATAAAACTCCTCTAACTGGTCGAGTTGTACTGTAGACTTAATAGGAACTACTACAAGTAACTAACCTTTGTAACTGTTTCAACTACTTATTTAATATCACATTGGCTTGCAGGCTTTATGTATTATAAAAGGCTTTATCTATGGCATTTAAAGAATGTTGTGATCCAGGATGTGCTAGTTTTGTCTTCTGTTTTTAAAAAATTATATGTACAACCCAAAGCAGAAGCGTATTGGCATGTTGCTGTAGGAAATAACACTGGGTTGGATCCAGTCAGCTTTTTACTCTTTCCTACCTACTTGGTGTCCTTACTAGAGCTCTCATTTTGCATGACCTTTGTCCATGCCAGTCCCAGGATCCTCAGCATAGTCTTTTTGGTTGTTTCAAGGGGCTTATTCTCTTTTGGACAATGGAAAAGCTGCTTGTACCCAACCCAACCTGTTTGTTATTTCTGTCTCCTCTTATTTCTTCCATATTGACTTCTGACTTTTTCTCTCTCTTGACTTTGTTTCCCTCATGGACTGAAAAGGCAAAGGTATAGTACTGCTGCATTGTGCATGTAATCTGCATGAACAGTTCCAAATTTGAAAGTGTGCTACAATGATGTTCTGAAATGATTTGTAATTCAAGCTCCATATGTTCATGAGTGCACAGTGGCTTATGGCAAGGCCCTATTGTTAAGCAGATGTAATGAATCACAGAATCATAGACTTGCAAGGTACCTCCAGGGTCATCTAGTCCAACCGCATCTAGTCCAAGGCAGGAAATTCACAAATACATCCCCCTCCACACACCCAGTAACTGCTGTTCCACACTCAAAAGATGACAAAAAGTATCCAGGATCTCCAGTCAAACTGGCCTGGAGAAAACTTGCGTCCTGATTCCAACATGCCAGTCAGCATTTCCCTGGGCGTGTAAGAAAGGGCCACAAGAACTAAGCACTGAGGCAACCCTTCCTGCCCTCCCTCTCATGATCTGCCTAAGTTCACAGAATCCGCATTGCTGTCAGATGGCCATCTAGCCTCTGTTTGAAAACCTCCAAAGAAGGAGAGCCCACCACCTCCCGAGGAAGCCTGTTCCACTGAGGAACCTCTCTAACTGTTAGGAAGTTCTTCCTAACATGTAGCTGAACTCTTCTGTTTAATTTCAACCCGCTGGTTCTGGTCCGACCTTCTGGGGCAACAGAAAACAACTCTGTACCATCCTCTAATGGACAGCCCTTCAAGTACTTGAAGGTGGTTATCATATCACCTCTCAGTCATCTCCTCTCCAGGCTAAACATACCCAGCTCCTTCAGCCTTTCCTCATAGGACTTGGTCACCAGACCCCTCACCATCTTTGTTGCTCTCATCTGGACACGTTGTCTGTATCCTTCTTAAATTGTGGTGCCCAAAACTGAACACAATACTCTAGGTGAGGTCTAACCAGAGCAAAGTGATAACATCACTTTGTGTGATCTGGACACTATAGTTCTGTTGGTACAGCCCAAAATAGCATTTGCCTTTTTATCTACTGCAGCATACTGCTGACTCATGTTCAGTGTATGGTTTACTGAGACCCCTAGATCCTTTTTGCACATACTACTGCCAAGACAAGTCTCCCCCAACCTATAATTCAACATTTATTTTTAATCACAATTTCTCTTATGTTTTATATCCTTGAATCTCATTAAATCTCCTTAAATTCTATTTTAAGTATCATTTAAAATATCATTTGCTCTGCTGTAACCATTCCACCTTAAGTAACAATTCCTCCTGCCCATTCCCCCCCCCTTTCTTGAGTTCCACCATTTTATTATCTGCAGTTGAGGGTTGTTCCTGTAGAATTTCCGTGTGGGAGTAGAGATCTCTCCCTCCTCGTCTGCAGTATCCAAAAGAACTTGCAACACTTTCCTTACAGGCAGATATGCTTTTATTTTCTGTAGTTGAGAACTGTTCCCGTAGAATTTCAGTATGAAAGTAGAGATCTTCCCTTGGTTTTTTGCAATATCCATAAGGAATGTATTAGTCATTCTTAAAATTATCTTCCGTTCCACCTTAACATCTTCAGGCACGTAGGCAACTATTTTCCACATTTTCACTTTAAACAGTTAAATCACTGATATTTCCATTTCTTCCAGTCTCGATTGCTCCCTCGGATTTTGTGCTTCATTTTTTTAAAAAATAGATATTTTATTATTTTCCATGTAGCATGATTGCAACATGAATCATACATTTTGGAATACTATACAAATTATTAGGTCATATTATACACAGTATCACTGGCAATGCCTGCTTACATTATAAGTATTGAAAACAAAAAGATTTTTCCCCGTCATTACCGGTGGTTGCTTGAAAAACTATTTTTTATCTTCTCCTTAAACTCCTAAGCAAATAATACATAATTAATAAAGTGATAATTAGAATTATCCCAAGCTGTTTCTCATATATCCTAGCTGTAGTATTTTATGCCTTTTCAGTACTCTTAAATAGAAAAATAAAACAACGGCAACAGAATTTTAACCTTCATGGTGCCCAAATAATACATAATTAATAAAGAGATTTTTTAAATTTATCCCAAGCTGTTTCTCATGTATCTTAACTATATTATTTTATGCCTTTTAATTACTCTTAGTGAAAAACTAAAACAACGGCCACAAAATTTTTAACCTTCTTGGTGGAGTCCTTGGAGGTTGCCACCTCCCTGTGGGTCTTTGGAAAATTCCAAAGGGGGTCATTCCCTAGGACCCCGCCCTATGGGAGGTAATAGGGGAGTCCCTCCCGAATGCCTTACCCGCCGTGCTCCTATTATACCATGATATCAATATATTTAAAAAACAGTAATACTAAAACAAATTATCTGAAATTAAATCTATTTTTCTCTCTCTCTTGAGGGTTCCAGCAAATATTTTTTCAGAGGCTCTTGAGGGTTTTTATATATAAGACTTGAAGTCCATCCCTGTTAGAGTTTATTATATAACTTCATTTTCTAAGGCTCTTAACATTTCTTCTCCATAAAGAAGATGGAGAAGTTGCAGACGATTAGGCTATTATCAGTGAATGTTAATGGGTTAAATGGCCCAAATAAAAGAAGAAGAATATTTCACCAAATGATAAAACTTAATCTAGACGTCATATGTATTCAAGAAACTCATATAAAAAAAGAACAAGAAAAATATTTAAAGCAACCAAAACTAGGGAAGGTATATACAGCATCAGATAGTAAAAAAAAAGAAAGAAAGGAGTAGCTGTGTATGTAAAAGACTACCTACAACCCAAATTAGAATTTGTTATAGAAGAGGGAAGAGGACTGGCTGTTTCAATTGAAAGACAAGGAAAGAGAACCCTAATCCTAAACATATATGCACCCAATCAAAATCAATCACCTTTTTTTAAACAACTGCAAGAAAAATTGATGGGGACAAATTTTGAGGAAATTTGTATAATAGGTGACTATAATTCGGTATTTGACCCAAACATAGATAGGAAAAGTATTAAATCCAAAACCACAAAATCAAGCAATAATTTACCTAAAACCTTCTTAGAATTGGCGGAAGAACTATCATTAATAGACATATGGAGAACTAAAAATATAGATAAAAAAGAATATACTTTCTATTCAACACGACATAATGCCTGGTCAAGAATTGACATGGCTTGGGTGTCGATAGACCTTGTTAAAAGTATAGATGAGATTCAAATACTACCAAGCACATTTGCGGATCACAATCCAATAATTTTAAAAATTAAAGTAAATGTCAGGAAACCAAGATGGACAATGAATTTGAGTCTATTGAAAGATAAAGAGATTGTAGGGAAAACCCAAAATTTAATAAAAGAGTTTTTTTAACAAAAATACCACCCAAGACACCCCTATAGAAATAATCTGGGACGCATTCAAAGCGTTTATAAGAGGATGGTGGATAAATCAGGGGGCATGGGGAAAAAAACAAGAGAATAAAATATTTGAGACCTTAACTAGGGAAATACAAAAAGAAGAAACTAGAACTATAAAATCACCCAAAGATTTCAAAAATGTAAGAAATAGGATAAAAAAGTTACAACACCAGCTTAACCTACTTCTAACCAAAGAGACAGCAATGAAAATAGAAAGAGCAAAATTATACTATTTCGATAATGCCAATAAGCCTACAAGATGGCTCGCCTATAAATTAAAAAAAGAAAAGGAAAAAAGACTTATAAAAAGACTTAAAAATAAGGCAGGGAAAGAAATGACATCACAAAAAGACTTAGAAGAGATAGTCCGGGATTTCTATGGGAATTTATATAAAAAAGAAGAAGTAAGAGAGGATGAAATACAAGATTATCAGGGAAAAACCGAAAAAGGGAAATTTAATAATGAGCAGATGGATATATTAAATAACCCTATTGAAATTAGTGATATAATAGAAGCAATTAAAAATGGGGGAAAAAAGAAGTCGCCAGGCCCGGACGGGATTCCAACAGAATTCTATCAGATATTCGAGGAGCAATTAGTAAATCCCTACAAAGAGCTACTTAATAATATACCCCAGTCAAAGAGGATTCCCGCCTCTTGGAGTGAGGCGTTGATCACTTTGATTCACAAACCAAACTCTGATGAGGAACATGTAAAGAACTACAGGCCTATCTCTCTATTAAATACAGACTATAAAATCTTTGCCAAGATATTGGCCAATAGAATGAAAAGAGTGCTTTCAGAAGTAATCCATATGGATCAATCAGGATTTTTGCCTAAGAGAAAGATACAAAACAATGTAAGAAATATAATTAACGTATTAGAATATTATGAAATGCAACCTGGGAGGCAACTGGCTTTAATTCTCTTAGATGCAGAGAAAGCATTCGATAATATAAACTGGGCGTTTATGTTTAAAAAATTAGAGTTATGGAATTGTGGGGCGAACTTTTACGCAATGATAAAAGCTATGTACAACAAACAAAGTGCTAGAATATTAATAAACGGCGAGATATCTCAATATATCCAAATCCAGAAAGGCACAAGACAAGGATGCCCTCTCTCCCCATTATTATTTGTATTTATTATTGAGTCATTAATTGATAAAATCAGATCTAATGCAATGATAAGAGGCTTGAGAGTGAAAGGGGAAGAAATTAAGGTACAGGCCTTTGCCGATGATTTAATATTTGTATTAGAAGATCCAGAGCATTCTTTGCCAATTTTAATAAAAGATATAAAAGAATTTGGACAACTAGCAGGATTCAGAATTAATATTCAAAAAACCAAAATAATAGCTAAAAACTGCCCCCCAAAACTGATAGAAAGGCTAAAAGGAATTTCCGAAATGGAAGTAGTGCATAAAGCCAAATACTTAGGTATTTGGCTGTCAGATAACACTGCAAAACTGTTCGAAAATAATTATCAAAAATTACTAAAAAAAATTAGTACAGATTTGAAAATTTGGGAACAAAAACATATTTCCTTAATGGGAAGGATAGCGACTATAAAAATGAACATACTACCAAGGGTCTTGTTTCTAGCACAAAATCTACCCATTCTATAAAATTATGAGTTTTTTAAAGACCTAGAAAAAATAACAAACAAATTTGTTTGGCAATCTAAAAGACAGAGAATTAAAACTAAATACCTATAGGATAGCAAAACGAGGGGGGGATTTGCATTGCCTAATTGGCAGTTTTACTATCTCTCAGCTGCAATGACGTGAATTAAAGAATGGGTTGAATTAAAAGATGAAAGAACCCTAGCATTGGAAGGAGCAGACCTTCCAATGGGATGGCATGCATACATGTGGTATGGAAAGGACAAAATCCACTCCTGTTTCCATACAAACCATCTTAAGAACAGCCTTAATGAAAGCCTGGAACATCATAAAACATAAGTTCTATAGCAAGACGCCTTTATGGATTTCTCCACTAGAAGCCTTTATAAAACCCTCGGTAAGGACAGAAGAATCTAAAGTAACATATGGTAGCCTCTTAAATGAAAAAATGGAACTAAAAAGAGAGGACTCACTAAAGAAACAAAATATAAATTTAACTTGGTGGGATCGAAATATAATCAATACAAGATATATGATAGATAAAAAAGTAGGTTTCTATACTAATCAGAATGAAATAGATAAAATTTGGCTCTCCTCCAGCGACAAATTAATTCAGAAATTATACGCCAAACTATTGGAGGAAAAACTAGAGAAAGAAGATATTAAAAAGCCAATGTTAACTTGGAATAAAGAGATAGGGATTACCCTAAAGGCAGAACAATGGAACAAATTGTGGAGATCAATAAAATATATGAAAGCAACCCCTTACAAAGAAAATATTTACAAAATGTTTTACAGGTGGCATTGGACCCCGGAAAAAATTGCTAAAAACCCCAAAATAATAATAATATACATTCTGACAGCAGCAAGAATATTGATAGCAAGGCGATGGAAATCAAGAAATATACCATCTATTAAAGAACTTAAACATAAGATTTTGGATATTGCGGAAATGGATAAACTGAGTTTGGAATTGAACAACAAATCAGAAAAAGTTTTTTGGAAAAGATGGAAGACCATATACGACCGGCTTAAACATAAACAAAAAATATAAATTGTTAGTTAAACGCTAGGAAATTTATTTTGGAACTGAAAGTCTTTTTATTTTTGGAGATGTATATATGACCTAATTTTGAATATTTGTGTACAGATCTTATGGATTGTAAAGGTGAAAAACTTGGAAAATAAATTTTCAAAAAAACAACAACAAAAAACATTTCTTCTCCAGACTTGACGTCGTGGACAGTGAAGATTCTGTTTTTATGATTTATATGTAAATGTCCTACTGGAAGCCAGCGATAACGGATGTGTTTTTCTGCCAGACGTTGAGTGATTGATTTCAGGTTCCGTCGTGCTGTTAAAATCTCTGGTGGCAAGTCTTGAAACACTTGAGCCCGAGTGTCCTCCAGTTGAAGTCCGTTGTTCATCCTTGCAGCTTCTAACACAATTTTCTTTACTTTAATATCTGTCAACTCAGCCAGTATGTCAGGAATGAGAGTGGGAGAGCCTAATTGCGGTGGATTCAGTCGATAAGCTTGACAAATTGGTGCAGCCGGCAGTTGCAATAGTTTTTGGAGCCATTCATTTAAAGAGCTCGTGAGGTCTTTATCTGTAGCAAAATTTGGGGAAATTCCCCTGAGTTTGATTTTTCTTTCACGGGCTTTTGTATCCAGAAGTATGATTTTGGACTTGCTCCATGTCTCAAAAGTCCTTAGGTGTTCTATATCCTTCATATTTTTTGCAGTCTCCATCAATGCCTTGTCTGTTTTTTTCCCTCAAGTCTGTTAAGTTCAGATTCATAGCATCAAGTTTTTGGTGGATTGGAGTAATGTTTTTTTTGAGTTCTTTTTTCATTTCTGCAAACATAGTCTGTATATCTTTTTTTGTAATAGAATCCTCACGTTTTCTTTTGCCCTGTCGATTAGCAGCTTCTCCATCTGAGTCTGCTTCCAGTGGGGGAGGGGAATCCTCCTCCGAGGTTTGCGTATTTCTCTCAGTTTGTTGAGACTCCTTGGTGTTTTTCTTGGCTCCTTTCCCTCCTCTTGGCCTCCCCATTCCTTTCAGCAAGCAGTTTTTATCTTTAAAGTCCTCAATTGATCTTTTTTAAAGCGTTTTTTGGAGCACAGACACGGAGGCTATTTCGGTCTGACTGCGCAGTCTCGCAGTCACCGGAAACTCCACCTTTGTGCTTCATTTGGTGATTGTTTCGGTAGATTTTCTGTTTGGTAAAACTGGAAGGAAAGCAAATACAAATTGCGTTGTACTGGCAACATGGCTAAATTAAAAATGTCTGTTAATGTCTCCATTATCATTTGCAAAGCAGGCATTGTTCCTACAAAACAGCTTAGCCAGATCACTGAGCTCCCAAAATTTGTTGCTAGAAATCCAAATTGGCTCCAATATTTAAGTCTCTTTCCAATAGTAATCCTTATCTGAATCCAATTTAATTTCCATATAGTCCAAATAAATTCATTATAAAGTTACTGTCGTCTTTAAATCATTCTTTTTTCAGTTTGCAACCAGTTAAATCAGTGGGGGTCAGCACAGTCGAAAATCTTCCCTCTTATAGACACTTTTAGATGTTCATTGGTGTAGTTTGAGATCCTCTTCCAAGTCAAAGGAGGGGGGGCAATTCCCCCTTTCCCCTTTGTTTTCTAATCCTTTTACAATCTGGTTAAATCCTTAAGCACTATTTCAGCAGGCAATTCACAAAAGAGTAGAAAGACTTACTTGGAGAATATCTTCTTATATTTTACGTAGGGGATCATTTAATGTAGAAAACACTTAATTTCAGTTCTTGAAATTCTAGTAGTCACAGCTTGGTGCCAAAATGATGATTGCTTTGGCTGGTGCTTCGGGGTAGACAAAGGACTCCAGATCCACGCCGCTGCCGGACCTGGTTCTTTGTCGAGCCGCCTGCTTCAGGGACTCCTCTCCTGAGGCCCCCCTAGGAGATTGGATATCCAAACTCCCCAAACCATGCAATTCAAGTGACTGCAGGAGCAGAGCTCCGCAGCCAACCTTGATCCCACTGCGCCGAAACCGCAAACCTGAGGATCAAATAGCTATTGATTGACATTTTTTTTGCTCCATGAATCCGTCTAATTCCCATTTTAAAGCAATCTACACAACTGTCAACTCTACATCCATTGACAGCAAATTCATAATTTAATTACGTATTGAGTTAAAAAGTACTTATTTAAATTTTCCTCTGCTTCATCCTCTTCGTCTCTTAGGAAGGTTCCCCCCAAAGTTTCATTGCCAAAGATGACTATATGCAGTCTTCCTTTACTTAGTGTTGTTTGATTTTTTTTCTCTCCACCTCTTTCTTTGTCACTTATTTTATTTGCTCACCTTCCCTCCCTTATCTACAGCTCTCAATATCCTGTTTCTTTTCTTTCTCTCACACTGTCTCTGGATCCCTTCACCTTGTGTTTTTTTTGGTTTCTGTTGCACTTGTGGTTCTTTCACCGCTACTTTAAAACCTCTCTTTCAGCATGGGAGAAGCAAAAAAAAAAAGAGTATGCAACACATTTCTGACACTTCCAGGCCATGGTTGGGAGGACTTGGAATATGACATTTGAAATGAGCCAATTCAAGATATATAGAATTACTGGTTCTGGGAGGGTAGAAATGCTGATCTGTGTTAATTCACATACATAGTGTTAACTAAACTTGCCTCTTGTTTAGATCCCAACCAGGCTCTTCGGCTTTGTTTGGGCAGTACTGCAGTTGGAGCACAGTATGGAGCCATATCTGCTCTTAGTATCAACAATGATTGTTCAAGACTTCTGTGTGGTTTTGCAAAAGGAGAGGTAATATTACGATGTCATGTGATCTTATTTATTATCACTTTGAGAAAAAAGTGTCACTGGCTGCTAGATAAGTATGCATTTTCTATGGTCCTTTTTTCTTGTTTGCTAAGGTAATTTGAGAATGGGCTTTCTCCCTTTCTGGTGCACTTTGTCTTCCAACATCCTATTGTGGAAAGTGTTATCCAGAGGTTTAATAAGGCCAGTGAATAGAGAGAAGGAATATAGGTGCCCCTGGAAGAGAAGGGGAGCATGCAGAGTTTTTCCTGGTTTTTCTGGTCACCATCATCTGGCATAAGATATCTGAACTGAGCCACCCCCATCCCCACCCCCCCCAATGCTGTGCAAGATACAGGGTAAAGATACACAGGGTTGTTTTTTTGTTTTGTTTTACATTTTTTATATTAACCAAAAGTTAAATGCCTTCTGTGCCCAAAAGCATAAGAAATGGGAAGATTATTTATTCAATTACACTTGATTGCATGTGTGGGTGATTTGGCAAATCTCTCCTACTTTAGAAATAAGAACATGTACTTAAAAATTTGATAATATTTACCTGTAGATTACGATGTGGGACCTAGCCAGTGGGAAGCTTTTGAGATCAATAACAGATGCTCATCCTCCAGGAACGGCAATATTACACATTAAGGTAACAAACAATCACTTGCTCTGCTTAGTGAATTCTGTCTGAAAAATGAAAATCCTGTTACTAGAAAACATAAAATGTGTGTGGTATTTCTGACTGAATGTATATATGTGAGTATGATTTCTGTTATTCTGAGAATAGGATTTTAATTACATGATATTTAGCTTTGAGAGAGGAGTGCTTGAATATTGTGTAGGGTAGTAGAGAGGAAAGTTGCTGTATTGGATCTTGTGGATCAATTCCACCAGGGGCAGAGCTTTTCTCTGATGCAAGGAGCCTTCCAAAGGTACCCGTAGCTCTTCTAGTTTTGAAAGACTTCTTGCATTGGAGGAAAACTCTGCCATTACAAAAAAATACAGGATCCGTCCTACTGATGTTAAGAAATGGGAATAGAGCTGGTAGCTCTTAGGAAATGGAGTAGTAAAGAGTATTGGGCAGATAATATTATTTTGACAAACAGGAAAGGGACATGGCTAGCAGAGGAATATTGGGAAAAGTTGTGGGGAGGGACCAGTGTTCCTTCTAAGCTGAGCTAGTGTGAGCTAGCTCACAGTTTATTAGCCTCCAGCTCACACATTTTTGTCTTAGCTCAGGAAGGATGGCTCCAGGGCAAACTTATTTATGCAGTAGCCAAATCGCTCGCTCACAACTTTAATGCCAGTAGCTCACAAAGTAGAATTTTTCCTCCCAAGACTCTACAGCTTAGAGGGAGCATTGGTTAGGCTTAGGTTTAGAGTTATGGTTAGGGTAAGGTTTATTAGGGTTAGAATTAGGGCAAGGGTTATTAGAGTTAGGGTTAGAGTTAGGGTTATTAGGATTAGGGTAAGTGAGTTAGGGTTATTAGGGTTGGGCTTAAAGTTAGGGTTAGGGTTATTAGAGTTAGGGTTACAGTTAGGGTTATTAGGGTTAGGGTTATTACCATTATGGTTAGGGTTGTTAGGGTAAGGATTAGGGTTATTAGGGTTAGAGTTAGGGTTAGTAGGGTTAGGATTATTAGGATTACAGATAGGGTAAGGGTTATTACGGTTAGAGTTATTAGGGTTAGAATTAGGGTTAGGGCTGGTTTAGGGGTTAGGGTTATTAGAGTTATTAGGGTTAGGGTTAGATTTAAGGTTAGGGTTATTAGGGTAGTGGAGCTGCGGTGGCTCAAGTGGTTAAGACACTGAACTGTAGGCTGTGGAAGGTCGGTAGTTCAGCAGTTCGAGACCCGGGTGCCGCATGACGGGGTGAGCTCCCGTCTCTAGTTCCAGCTTCTGCCAACCTAGCAGTTCGAAAGCAAGAAATTGCAAGTAGATAAATAGGTACCACTTCAGTGGGAAGGTAACAGCGTTCCATGCGCCTGGGTGTTTAGTCATGCCGGCCACATGACCACGGAAACATCTTCGGACAGCGCTGGCTCTTCGGCTTTGAAACGGAGATGAGCACCGCAACCCTAGAGTCGGATTCGACTGGCTTTCGAGCAAGGGAACCTTTACTTTACCTTTATTAGGGTAAGGGTTAGCATTAGGGTTAGGATTATTAGGGTTAGGATCAGCGTTTCCTCTAAAGTGAGTTAGTGTGAGCTAGCTCACAGTTTTTTTAATCCTTGGCTTACTCATTTTTGTTTTAGCTCAGGAAGAATGGCTCGGGCAAATTAATTTATGCAGTAGGCAAATCGCTCCCTCAGAACTTTAATGCCGGTAGCTTACAAAGTAGGATTTTCACTCACAAGACTCCATAGGTTAGAGGGAGCATTGGGAGGGACCAGGCAGTTTTCAGTTTGGTAGTTTTGTGGACATTTTCGTAAGGGAGAAATTAATGTTCTGTTCAGTTTACAGATGACCCAACTCTTGCAATTTGCAACGACAGTGGAGGTTCAGTTTTTGAGCTGTCATTCAAGTAAGAATATCTCTATTTATTGTAGAAGAGCACAATTAAAAAAAAATGTTTAGAATTAACTGTGTTCTGAGTAGTAAACCCTAAGATGCAGTATTTCCAGTACATTAGTTTGCGCAAGATTTTAGGGTTAATGGAAAGAAAAAACACAAATAAATTGCTCCAATAGAGGGATAGTTCACTATAATTTTGAAAATCCTTTTCTAATTACTAATCCACTTCAGAGAGTGCCTCCTATTCAGAGACCGAGGAACAAGTTTTTCATAAAATGACTACTTGAAAGTGACATACTTTATATGTGAAATGCTGTATGTACAGACCTGCATTTATTTATTTATTTATTTATTTAAGTATTTTTACCCCGCCCTCCCCGCAAGCGGGCTCAGGGCAGCTTACAAGGGGCATAGCCCGAACATAAAATCACATAAAATCCAATAAAATCCAATAACATTACAATCAATAATAAATAGTAAAGTGTTTCATTTTATCAGGCGGTCTTAAGTTGTTAAAAAATGGTGGCATCATCATCCAAAAATGGTCCGAGCTCGCCCGCAGTACTCATTGCAGCATTCTAGTAGCGCTACGTTTAAGGGCACCCCCAGCTATGATGTTCTTACCACCGTTGATGGTAGTGGTGGCAACAGCAGTGGCGGCCCCTACATGAAAGCCTGGTGGAAGAGCTCCATCTTGCAGGCCCTGCGGAACTGCATAAGGTCCCGCAGGGCCCTGATCTCCTCCGGGAGCTCATTCCACCAGGCAGGGGCC